TACTGCGATAACCCACCCCGGTCTGAATCCCCCATCGGCAGGTACTGTGTCCATCAGCAGATTCTGTCATACTAACCTCCTTCTAACCTGTGAACACCATTTGTATCCCGCCTCCATTCATGTAACTCCCCTGTAACCTGGTGCCCAGGAATTACCGTGCCGCCATGGTCCTGGCTGTAATTGCGACGTAGCCGTCTGGCTGCCTCCGGCTGCAGTCGGAGCCGGGCTCCGAGGCGAGCTCCAGCCACCAGCATCTCAGACACCACTCCTGCACAGTGCGCCTGCGCTCATACTGCCGCCGCTGTTACAGTCGGGAATTGTAGTCCATCCGTGCCCGCTTCCGGTCAATCAATCAACAGATTGGAACTACAACCCCCATAGTGCACTGGGATCGCCACCTGATTGGATTCAGTTGGAAAGTTGGCACTTTTGAAATCCTGTCTTCATTTGTTTAAATATTTCTGCAAGGTGACTTCTTTTTTGGTACTAAATGGCTCATTTCTCATTTTGCTTCTTACTGTGAATTTAACTGCCTCATTTCACTGTGCTTTTAAAGTTGTGTTCCAATTCAGAGATTCTCAAACTGACACTCCAGTGCAGTATTAACAGAGTGCTATCTCTCAGATAAGACATTTAATTAAGGTCTTGCATAACCTGTCAAGTAGTTGTAAGCATTTCATGACTCAATTGGTCCGTATTTCAATGGAGTTGGAGTATAAGAGTAGGGCAGTCTTACTGCAACTGTATAAGGTGCTGGTGAGACCACATCTGGAGTATTCTAAACTGTTTCGGTCCCTAATTTAAAATGTATTATTTCACTGGTGACAGTTCTGAGAAGTTTCACAAAGATGATCCCCAGCGTGGAGGGATTGTCTTATGAACAAAGGCTAAACAGGATGGGATTCTACTCACTGGAGTTTAGAAGAATGAGGGACGATCTCTTTGGAACATAGAGAATTCTAAAGGGGCTTGACAGAAAAAACACTGAGAGACTACTACCACTCATGGGAGTATTTAGGACCGGGGGCATAGTCTTAGAATAAAGGGGTGCCAATTTAAAATGAAATGAAGAATTTCTTCTCTCAAGTTCTTTTCACTGAGTTCTGAGGAAGGGACACCGGACCCGAAATGTTAACTCTGTTTTTTTCTTCACAGATGCTGCCAGATCTGCTGAGCTTTTCCAGCAACTTTGTTTTTGTTCTTCTCTCAAGGTGGTTGAGAGTCTTTGGAACTTCTTGCCAAAGAGAGTTGTGGTTGCATAGAGATTCTTGATCAGTAGGGAAATCAAGGGTTACAGTCACAGCTGTACAGCATGGAAACAGACCCTTCGGTCCAACTCATCCATGCCAACCAAACATCCCAATTTGACCTAGTCCCATTTGCCAGCATTTGGCCTTTATCGCTCTAAACTCTTCCTTTTCATGTATCCATCCTGATGCCTTTCAAGTGTTGTAATTGTACCAACCTCCACCACTTCCTCTGGCAGCTCATCCCATACACGCACCAACGAGTGCATGAAAAAGTTACACCTCTGGTCATTTCTAAATCGTTCCACCTTCGCCTTAAACTAATGCCCTCTAGTTTTGGACTTTCCTACCCTAGGAAAAATACCTTGGCTGTTCACCCTATCTGTGCCCCTCACAATTTTATAAACCTCTATAAGCCTCTGACACTCAGGGTAAAAAAACAACCCCAGTTTGATCATCTTCTCCTTACAATTCTAAACCTCCAGTCCTGGCAACATCTTTGTAAATCTTTTCTGCACCCTCTCAAGTTTAACAAAACCTTCTGATAGAAGGGCTGTTTTGGAAAATGTAGGGGGTGAGGGACTCTCAGGGGAATGTAGCACTGACAGCCAGGTTTCTGGTACTGAGACTGGCTCTAATGTAACGAGAGGTATGTCAGGTTCCAAGTGATTGATTGTGATTAGAGACTCTCTAGTCAGAGGCACAGTCAGACGTTTCTGTGGCTGACAACGGACATCAGAATTTGTGTTTCCTCCCTGGTGCCAGGATCAAGGGTATCTCGGAGAATATTCTCAAAGGAGAGAGGGACCAGCAGGAGCTCATTGTACACATTGGAACTAATGACATAGGAAGAGATGCTGAGTAGAGAATATAGGAAGTTAGGCAGGCATTTTAAAGTAGGTCCTTGAGGGTAGTGGTCTGGAATATTCTAGGTGCCACAAGCTAGTGAGAGTAGAAGTAGGACAGAGCAGAGGAGCTGGTGCAGGAGAGAAGGATTCACATTTTACGATCATTGGAATCTCTTCTGGGGTGGAAGTGACCTGTATGAGAAAGACATTGCACGTGATTTGGAAGGGGACTAATATACTGGCGGGGAGATTTGCTAGAGCTGCTTGGGAGGATTGAAACTAGGAAGGGGTTTGGGTGGGACCCAGACAGGTAGTGAGAAAAGAGATCAGTATGAGACTGGTGCTGTTTGGAAAAGGAAGAAATCAAACAGTTCAGGGCAGGAAGAAACAAAGCAGAGAATGAGATAGTACTGATAAATTAAACTGAATTTATTTCAATTCAAGAGGCCTAACAGGTAAGGCAGATGAACTCAGGACATGGTTGGGAACATGGGACTGGGATATCATAGCGATTACAGAAACGTGGCTGGGGGATGGACAGGACTGGCAACTTAATGTTCTGGAGTGTAGATCCTATAGGTAGGATAGAAAGGGGCGCAAGAGAGGAGAGGGAGTGGCGTTTTTGATTAGGGATAACATTACAGCTGTACTTAGGGGGAAGATTCTTGGGAGTTCCTCCAGGGAACTTATCTGAGTGGAACCAAGGAATAAGAAAGGGATGATCACCTTACCGGGATTGTACTGACAACCCCCAATAGTCATCAGGACTTTGAGAGACAAATTGGTAAGGAGATCTCAGTTATCTGTAAAAATAATAGGGTGGCTATGGTCGGGGATTTTAACTTTCCAAACATAGACTGGGACTGCCATAATGTTAAGGGAAAACCAAAAGAACTGCGGATGCTGTAAATCAGGAACAAAAACAAAGTTGCTGGAAAAGCTCAGCAGGTCTGGCAGCATCTGTGAAGGAGAAAACAGAGTTAACCCTCCCTGTTCTGAGGAAGGGTCACTCGGACCCGAAACATTAACTCTGTTTTCTCCTTCACAGATGCTGCCCGACCTGCTGAGCTTTTCCAGCAACTTTGTATAATGTTAAGGGCTTGGATGGAGAATAATTTGTTAGGTGTGTACAAGAAAAGTTTCTGATTCAGTATGTGGATGTACCTACTTGGGAAAGTGCAAAACTTGACCTACTCTTGGGAAATAAGGCAATGGCATGTCACTGAATTATCAGTGGGGAAGCACTTTGGGGCCAATGACCATAATTCTATTAGTTTCAAAATAGTGATGGAAAAGGATAGACTGGATCTAAAAGTTAAAGTTCTAAATTGGAGGAAGGCCACTTTTGACGGTAATAGGCAAAAACTTTCAAAAGTTGATTGGGAGCAGAAATTCGCAGGGTGGCTAGAAAATGGGAAGCTTTCAAAAATAAGATAATGAGAGTCCAGAGACAGTTAGTTCCTGTTAGGGTGAAGGGCAAGGCTGGTAGATGCAGGGAATGCTGATTAACTAGGGAAATTAAGGTTTTGACCAAGAAGAAGAAGGAAGCATATGTCAAGTATAGACAGCAGGGATCGAGTGAATTTTTAGAAGAGTATAAAGGCAGTAGAAGTATAGTTAAGAGGGAAATCAGGAGGGCAAAAAGGGGACATCAGATAGCTTTGGCAAATAGGGTTAAGGAGAGTCCAAAGGGACTCTACAAATACATTAAGAACAAAAGAGTAACCAGGGAGAGAATAGGGCCTTTTAAAGATCAGCAAGGCTGCCTATGTGTGGAACCGCAGGGGATGGGTGAGATACTAAATGGGTATTTTGCATCAGTATTCACTGTGAAGAAGCATATGGAAGTTAGAGGACTAGGGGAAATAAATAGCGACATCTTGAAAAATGTCCATATTACAGAGGAGGGATGCTGGATGTCTTAAAATGCATAAAGTTGGGTAAATCCCTAGGACCTGATCAGGTGCACCCTAGAACTCTGTGAGAAGTTAGGGAAGTGATTGCTGGGCCCCATGCTGAGATATTTGTATCACCAATAGCCACGGGTGAACTGCCAGAAGACTGGATGTTGACTAACATAGTGTCATTATTTAAGAAAGGTAGTAAGGAAAAGTGAGGGAACTATAGACCGGTGAGCCTGACATCAGTGCTGGGACAAGTTGTTGGAGGGAATCCTGAGGGACAGGATTTACATGTATTTGGAAAGACAAGGACTGATTATGGATAGTCAACATGGCTTTGTGTGTGGGAAATCGTGTCTCTCTAATTTGATTGAGTTTTTTTTGAAGAAGTAACGAAGAGTATTAATGAGGGCAGAGCGGTGATCTACATGGACTTCGGTAAGACGTTCGACAAGGTTCCTCATGGTAGACTGCTTAGCAAGGTTAGATCACACGGAATACAGGGAGAACTGCCATTTGGATACAGAACTGGCTCAAAGGTAGAAGACAGAGGGACACTGGAGGCTTGTGACCAGCACTGTACCAGAAGGATCGATGCTGGATCAACTGCTTTCCGTCATTTACTATAAATGATTTGGATGTGAACATAGGAGAGATGGTTAGTAAGTTTACAGATGACACCAAAATTGGGGGTGCAGTGGACAGCAAAGAAGGTAACCTCAGAGTACAACAGGACCTCGATTAGATGGGCCAATGGGCCAAGGAATGGCAGATGGAGTTTAATTTAGATAAATGTGAGGGGTGCTGTATTTTGGAAAGGCAAATCAGGGCAGGACTTATACACTTAATAGTAAGGTCTTACAAAGAGACCTTGGAGTGCAGGTTCACAGTTCCTTGAAAGTGGAGTTGCAGGTAGTCAAGATAGTGAAGAAGGTGTTTCTTGTGCTTGCCTTTATTGGTCAGTGCATTGAATAAAGGAGTTGGGAGGTCATGTTGTGACTGTACAGGATATTGGTTAGGTCACTTTTGGAATACTGCATTCAATTCCAGTCTCCCTGCTACAGGAAGGATGTTGTGGAACTTGAAAGGGTTCAGAAAAGATTTACAAGGATGTTGCCCCAGGATTGGAGGTTTTGAACTATAGCAAGAGGCTGGATAGGCTAGGGCTATTTTCCCTGAAGCGTTGGAGGCTGAGGGGTGACCTTATAGAAGTTTACAAAACCACGGGGGGCATGGATAGGGTGACTAGCCCAAGGTCTTTTCCCCAGG